TAATCAACAAATTATTAGTATTAAACTTTTATCTTAAATATTTATGACTAGCCTGATCTAAATCGATTGTAAATTAATTAAAATGAATTATATTTATGTTCTAATTTTTAAATATTTGTTAATAAAATATAATTAAAGTTTTTTTTATACCAATTAATAATTATTATGTAAGTACAAGGTACCTATTTGTAACAATATACTCACGATTATAAGATTGAACATTTCAAGAATTTCAGTCCATTATTGCATTATATTTTAATATTTTTAATGGTTTTAAAGTTCGATTAAAGACTATTATTTCATTTATAAAAAATAATAATCATTGAAGGTAATTGTTTTAATTGTTTTATTATAATTAAAAAATGATCACAGAAAAAAAAATTAATTTGTTTTAGTATTTCATTTTAAATGCAATTATGGTTTTTATCTACACGAGCATTTAACATAAATATTATAAAAAAAAAAGTAATGGTTGTCATTTTTGATGCAGATAGCTCTAGGTAGTTACTACAATTATTGTAGTACTGTACCAATTAAAACATTACTTTTTATAATTTGTTTAAAAATGTGTAATGGTGATCGTTTACGGCTTATTAAAATCACTGAATTTTCTTATGATAATTGTAATGATAACAATTATTAATTTTAATAAAATTTTAATGAAGGTTTGCACTCGAAAGTTTATATTTAAACTGCAATTAAACCTATATAAAGAGGTTAAAACTATTCGACACAGTAAGCTAATTATTCAATTTCTTAACCAATAGTTTTCGTTTTTTATAAAACACACACACACATATACGCGTATTTATATATAATAACTACCTATATCATTAATCAAAATTATAATATACAGATATTTTTATGTTCGTTTTATGTTTGTTTGATTGTATTTACAATGCATTAAAAACAAAAAATATTTGTTTATTTTTTTTAATGCAGGAAATATAAAGACCCGCTTAATACCCTTATTTGCTCTTCCCCTATAGTTATCAACTAATTATAATATATTTTTTCTAGTGAAATGAACTAAAGATAGATTTTTCGATTTGATCACTTGTTGTCTTTAGATTAGTTATCTTGTTTAAAATATGTACATTGAATTGTTTATTAATAAAATAAATAGAGTCGTAGTAATACATTTATTATTTGTGGATTAACTAAGTCTGTAAATACTCGTATATATGTTGTTTTAAGGATTATATCATACATTTTTGTATAAAATTTACATCTCATAATGTGAGTAAATATTATGTAATATATATTTATACGCATTTCTGAAACTTAGATAATTGATTATTTAAATATTTATGATGGGTAAATTACAAATAAATATTTGTAAATTCTAATTTATTCAAAATTTTAAACACAGAAATTACGTTATTGTATATAAAATTAAAATTCGAATATAGTTAAATGATTGAATAGCCAAATACATTAAATAAATAAAATCATTAAAATCTGATAATAATAATAATAATAATAATAATAAATTAAAATTAAAAAACAATTGTTCATGAACACAAAAATCTTAAGTATAGAATAATGTTATTATAAACTCTGACATTAATTGTTATCTAAATTATGAGAATAACCATAATTTTAATATAGTTAGATGATTTATGAGTATGTCATAAATTCATATTATATTTAATTGATGTTACGTCTTATTTTTTTAGTCATACACACACTACAAATAATTATTAACAAATCATTTACGATTCCATGAAAATGAAAAAAAAAAAAATAAATAATGTTAACATAGTTAATAAATTAAACATTAATTGTTCGATTAACATATAAGTTCAAACTAGATAATACTGGCTAATTTTATATACATATCAATATATCGTACTTCATGGGTAGTACATAAAATATAAGTATCACATTCGAATATACAAGTATTTAATAAAAAAAAAAAAAAACTGATTATATCTAAATCAAATAAAAACTATAAAGGTAAACTATTATTCGTATCAAAGAATTATTGAAATCGAAACCTGAGAAACAGATCACGAATAATCGTGATTTTTGCTAGAAGTTTACCTATTCATACATGAAATACATATAATATTATAATATATAATTTTATACTTAATATATGTGTGTGTGAATGACCTGTTTAAAAATAATATTTTACTACATTTATAAAGTATGTATGTATGATTCACATATAATTAATGCATTTTAATCTAATATAATATACATTATGTATAGTATGCGTATATAGTTACGTATACCTTATACGTAATAAGTAATAGCTTAAAAATAAATAATAATGAATAATAGACACGATAATTGATATATAAATACTTATACGTAGTATTACATTTGTCATTTTCTATTACCTATTGATGTTTATCATAATATAATGTCATTATTCATCACATTTAAACATTATATTTTAATAAATACAAATTATGATTTATTTCTGTCTTTGATTAAATCTGTTTTTATTAGAATCAGCCGTAAACATTTAAAAAATGAAAACTTCTTTCTAGAAAAATAATATAATCTGAATAAAATATGATGACATTATGGATTTACGTAAAATGTTCATAGTAGTTTGGAAAACTTGAAAATCTGTTTTATATGAATTTTAGTATTGTCGAAAACTATTTGACATAATAATATATTATTCTAAAATAAATATAATTAAATTAGGTCATTATTTGCTTTTTGTGATTTTAGTTTATTTCAATATATTAGAATTGACTTTATCATTGATTTGTACCAAATCTATTGATAGTGTGTTGATGTAAAAAGCTCGTTATATAATTCGTTATATGTCATTAATTATATACTATTTATTGTTATATTTATAGCTGAACCACAAATTGTGAATAAATAGCATATAATTAATATGCCGAAATGATATTATTTATTATTATTATTATTATTATTTTTTTTTATTAATAAAAACAAACACATTAACTAATCGTAGGTCTTCATTGTTTTACATAAGTTATTTTTATAATTAATTTACTGAGATAATCGTAATATCTGAATTATAGTTCGATACTTTTTAAGCATACTCATCTAGTATCTACAGAAAACTTCTACGTATAGTATATTTTATACAATTCGTGATCTATTGTGTGTCTAATTGATTAATCTAAATTAAATTTCCTTACCGATATAGATGTTGATTATTATTATTTTTTTTTCTCGTTATTTACCAAGAAGTAGTGTATTGAGATGGTCAACACTTTTTGTCTTCTAATTTTGAATTTTTATGGGTTATGTCGAATCCTACGTAACTATATATATAATTCGTCTGTAGACCATTCAAGCGGGAGAGTATTTCTCTTTATTTTTCTTTTATAAATTTCATCTTCGTGGAATGTTATTATTATTATTTTTTTTTTTTTAATGAGGACAATGTAAAATGAATAATAGCAAACACAATATTACTTAACCAAGGCGGTCTGATAGGCAATTACTATTGCTTTAATGTAAACGATTGCTTTTCGATGCCAACGCCTTTAATCGTTTTCAGCAAAACGAAAGTGCAACCATATTATAAATAATTATATTTTATTACTTACAAATAATTTATAATAAATAACAAATGTATTAAATTAAATATTATATAAAAATATAGGTTTATGTATACATATGAAAGAACGGACAATAATACGTGTTAATAAAAACCGTATAATTACATACACAATATACAATTATTATGATTTATTAGTTAAAATGATGTATATAAACATAAACAAAAAAAATGTTAAGAATGTGAATAAAAAATATGAATGTTATAAGATCAAAAGAAAACTATAAATTCTCATATTAAAGTAGATTGTTTTATATAACGACCGAGTTAGGTTATGGTAATTATCAATAGTTTACTTAATATGTATTAAGTGGTTGCCTTAAAAGTGATATGTTTAATATAATAAACAATAATCAGTTTTATATTATCAACGATAAAATTCTAAAAAAAAATTTGTACACAAAATTCATCGTAAATTGAATTGGATATTCACCAAGGGATTGATAGGAGGGGTGTACAGGGTTAATCATATTGTAACACAGATCTGCTGTACATATTTTATCATAATATATATATGAAATAAAAAACGTCAAAACTACACAGAACTATAGCTTAAAAAACACAACTTATCCGATAATTTCTATTAACTTGATCGTTTTTGAATGTTTTCCAATCTTTATTAGCTAAAAGATTGTATAAGTATTCGGTACTATATACGACAGTGTCACGTGATAAAATTTATTGAATTATATTTTGTTGACTGAACAAATATTGGTAAGGTATGGTGTATTTTAAAGATTTCAAAATTATTGATAAGTATGCAGAACACTCGAGAACTAGTTAGCATACAATATAATAACGATATTGTAAGAGGTGAATATTTATACTTAACAAAGTATTTTCATTTTTTGCAATAAAAATCTTTATCCATAATTTCTTTTTAGGTTAATTTTTTTTTAATGGCAATTCATATTTTTAATTTTATATACAGTATTATTTTTAGAAAGTGCTGATTAAGTAAAATATACAAAACATTGAACAAATAGCTTATTGTTTATAAGTATTTCAAGTATTATTGATGACCTGAGAAGTGATAACTGAAAATTTGTTGAGTATCCGTTAACACAACATTCATCTAAACTATATTTTTATAATTATAAATAGAATACAAATCTTTCAAAAAAATCATTTTCTAATTAAAATTGTTAAGAATATGAATTAAAAATAAGGGTTGCCATTAGAAAACATTTTTTAAAAATCCTAAAAAGAACATTCACGAAAAAATACTGAAACTTTGTTTTTTTTCTGTTTGTAAAAAAATATAGTACAAGTATATAAATATATAAAATGTAGTAACTTATAAGTACTTAGGTACTGTTAAAATGATATGAAAAACAATGCACATAACTCTGAAATTGACTGAGAAAATTAGTAAATACATTATGTTAAAAAATCCATCTTATGTGCGGTAAGGATAATAATACTATTATTGTATGATCATTTATAATATAACATTAATAATAATAATAAAAAACATTAGACTGAGAGAAAATATTACATGAGTACCAGATACGTTCCACATTATAATAATTTGCTGGGTGTAGGTCCACGTTTGGCAACTTACAGATCTTGAAGATGGCAAATGATGTACTTGTAGCTTCTGTTAAACGATGACGAGTGGGTGGGAATACGTCATCGGTCAGGTTTATGAAGGCCTAAGGGATAAAGCGGTGACTAGTTTGACGGACACGCGCATTAAGATGACGTCTGCTCGCCCACTTCCTGAAGGATATCCACGAGAAAGTGATATATTTTATATCATATCCAGTGGGCAGTGACTGAAAGTCATAATGAAGGTTTTAGTATTTGTGCGGATAGTGCTGATTGTGATAGTGGTAGAGGTAATGTCGGTGTCGATGAGACACCGTTTAGGCTGCCCCGTGATAACCGTGAGGCTCGTATGAAGGGTACATCTGTTGAATAGGCTGTTGCGAAGACTGCGACATAACAGCTGTCCCTGAAGCGGCGGCTGACTGTCCAGCGTAGGCTAACAAATGCGCGTTCCGGTCATCCTTGTCCGAAGACCAGTCGGCTTGGACCACGGAACCACTACCACCACCACCGCCTTTAAACTTTTTAAGCAACATGAGTTTAGATATGGTTAGCGAGACGACGGCCAGTAGCAGGGCCTTTAGCGCCTTGGCGCCGATCATAACCATGGCCAGCGGTCCCATCAGCGACAGCTTGGCGCACATGATTACGCCCATCATCGACATCATTTTCTTGAGGTGTTTCAATTTGCTCTTCTTGCCACGGCCTAGATTATGACGAAACAAATAAACAAAATAACAAAAAAAAATCAAATATATAAATATATACCGTGATACAGAAAACGTAAGCACGATGAGAGAATAAAAATACCTAAAGTAAATAATGTAAACAAACGGACGTGGAAAAGCGGAAGGAAAAAAAAAACCGCGCGCAAATACATAAATACGTGGACGACGGTATTATAATGATACGGCGATGGGCGCATTCCCGCATTGTTTTCGTGGTGATCGTCGTAAAATAATATTATTTTACTATTAAAATAATACGCGTTGTATACATTTTATTATATTATTATGTTTCAACAGCAGTAATTGCGCGTGCGGTCGGTCGCGGCCAATTGGACTGGGAGAATAATTACGCGTGTACATAATATATATATTAGGTATGCACCGCCGTTTCGAAAATCGGAAGTTGGGTAGGTAGTATAGTAAGTATAACGCGGCAGCGTAGTGTGATAGTTATGGGCTATGGTGTATATATACATCGTATACCGACGATGACGTTATTATAATGATGCCCAATGACTCGTGACGACCGCCGTCGTTTGATTAACCCGTTGACCTCAAAGATTTTTCCAATATTTCAGGACGGAGAGAGGAAATAATCTTCCCCTCGCAGCTATTCTCGCCTGCGTGCACTATTACAATATGTCATTATTATAATACATATATATATACCTATATTAAAGACGACTTCGGTCCTATTGTGTTACGCCTATATTGAAGGTCGACTTCCGCTCGGTTTGCTGTTGGAAAAATCGTACCGGCGCTTTCGCGCCAATGCGAAAAAACAAAAATACACGACGACCAAGTCGTACACTATAGTAAAAGTCTATCGTCTATCACACGATATAATGTGGGTCTTATACGCAAACACACACACAGACCTGCGTGGTATAGAAGGTCGATTTTCCGGACATAGTGAAATTGCGCTGCAAATCGGCGCAGCTGACGTGAAACGAAAACAACAATAACAATAATAAATTATAATTATTAGAAATGATCAACGCCGCTCGGATTTGAGTTATTATTATTATTATATTTGTCGAAAAAAATTCTAACAGATCGGCTTCATCCGCTCCCTTATGAATTATTCATGGTTCCTACTTATACTACATTATATTATTGTTATCGTCTATACGCCCGGCGTGTTTACATGATTCGTAGATATGGGCGCGTGTTGACAGCGACATCGGCGGATACGAATAAAAAAATTGTATTGTCTGTGCGTTCTTTTCAGCTGCAATCGCATTACCACCTACACTATATCGTTATCTGTATAACGCTTTGGAACGATTATCATACCATAAACATTTTTGTTTGAGAAAAGAGAAAAAGAAACTGTTTGCGATCGAGTGTTTACGAATAAATCGTTTATGAAGTCGAATAAAACATTAGAAACCGAGATCGTGACGAAAAAATACTCGACGGAAAATCGGATGCGATTGTACTCGATTATAACAACATGGGCGTGAGACAAACGATTATAATTCGTTAATAATAATTGCAATGCGTCATTCAATAAATTAGTTGGTATTCATATATTAAAATAATGCCGTATCCACATGTGTTGTCCCTGTCTTACTAACGTACAACATAGCAATTTTGCATTCAGCAAAATCTATTTTATGTTAGCTGTAAAATTAGAGTCAATTCACTAATTATTAAACTTAAAAATAAGAATATTATTTAAGACATCATTTTGTTTTTATTAATATTTTCATTTTTAAGTTTTAATACTTTATATAACTATACCTGACTTTAAAATGAAAATGTCAATAAAAGCCTACATCATGCCTAGATATTATTCTTAGTTTGGTAATAGATAAATTGACTCTTATGTTGAAGCTAACAGTATTAACTAAATTCTGCTGAACGCAAATTTAGTATGATGTACGTTATTATGTATGTAAGACAAAAACAACACATGACAAATGTATCGATTAATTATCTTTGATCAGAATAAATATAACATTACAAAGATATCTATATGAAATGTATGATAAAAAAAAATAAAAAGTTATTTCGCAATTTCATTTTTAACCTTTACAACATAATATTTCCTTAATTTTTTAAGATGTGGTCCTTTATAATAATAAGTTTAAAATGATGAATTTCATGTATAGCATATATTATATCAGTTTATTACTTTTTAATTAAAATTAATAAATTTGAATATCGTTAAATCTAACTAATACAATATAGTATTATTATAAAAGAAGTGTTTTATTTTTAAATTCGTTTTATAATACTTAACATGAAATATTCAATATTTGTCGAGACTTATTAGTCATTACTAGAGCTAAAATTTTAGTGACCTAAAAAATACACAAAAATGCACTAAAAAATTAATGCAAAAATGACCTAAAAAACTCTAAAAAATGTACCTTGATGAGCGAAAAAAATTTAATTTTAAAATAATTACTATTATTAACTATTATTTCTTCATTTTTATATTACATAAAATAAATAAAAATTTATTTTAACAAGTAAATTAAACAAATATATTCAAATTTGAGTGAATAATTAATCATACATTACTTTTTTGGGATTACTTATACAATAACTCATATAATACATATTCAAAAACGCTTAAAATAAACAAAAATTAATTGAAATACACAAAACTAACGTAATATTTGTAATGACCCATTACATAGTATATTCAGTATTATATTTTAATATAAATTAAATGTATTCTTAAAAATGTCTATACCTACCTACCTATAATATTTAATAATATGTAATTACTTTTCAAATTCAATTTGCACTTTTACTGTAGTTTGTACTAAAAAATGTGTATAATGAATATACGAATTCAGGGAAAAATGGTTTTTGCTTACAAATCTAAATAGTTATTTTAGTGATTTGTGGTAACTATGGAGTAGTGATTGGTGAACGATGTTTCTGTCCAACTTAATGCGTTAACGCGAGTAAAATTAGTTTTAAATGTTTAAGCAACTATGCAACCACTCACGGGCTACTACCATATTAAAACTACCCACACAAAACACGCAAATTGATTCATAAGTTGTTTACCAAGGTTTGACTTTCAAACTTGACTTACATTTCTAAGAAAATACCAAGACTAAACCCCTTATTTCTTTGCAAAATCCTAAAACTTATCCTTGAAGTATAATATTTAAAAACAATTTTCATTACGTCGATGTTGAGACTAATAAGTAATAACTGTTATTAAGCTTATAGTTTTAGACCCCAAATTCCTAATGGTTAGAAACAATAATTACTAATGAGTATTTAGAAGTGTACAGTTCAGAAGTCAGAAATAATAATCATAACTCCTGTCGTAACCATACTAGTAAATAGGTATTATAGGTATACCTACAGAAGTTTATAGAAGCTCAAGAACAGAAATGTATAAATTATTATATAATGAATAATATAACTAATACCTACGTTAATATTAAAATAACAACTGTATAATAATTGTTATGATGTTAATTGTTCGCGGTAAAAAGTTGACGAGATCCATTTTGTAAGAAATATTGCGTAAGTGTACATTGCAAATACCCACACAAAATATTGACACATTCAGTACTATTACTCTAAAATACTATTTATATGAAATTATAATTAAATGTAGTTTAAACGTCCACAACATGTCACATGAGTTCATTTGAGATTTATGATGTTATACGTAACCCGCACACGTTTTGTAGTCATCTATAGAGTCACAAAGACGCATATCTTACATTTCATAACATAATGTATCTAAGTAAAATATTTTTCGTGTCTCTTATAAAAACTGATCTTATTTAAATGACGCATTGATCACACCGGTTCGACGTGTAATTTAATATTTAATTAAATAATTTATTTTTCCATTAATTTGTATCAAGCAATTTTTAATTATCATCTATCACACAATACAATTAATATTTACTGTAAAAATAACGGATTGTACCTACGATAAAATCTACACGTGGTTATTGGAAAAAAATATTTTAATTAATACTACCAAATCTGACAATTTGGATAAACAAAACCCAGAACATTCGTATGTTTAATTTATTATTCGATAACCTTTATTAACCCCTTTTTTTCCGGTGACTTCACAATATTTTGTTTTTATTTTTGTTCAGTGACCCATATTGAAATCAAAATGAAAAATTATCTACGCAAGGTAGGTGGTAGAATATATTTTATGATATTATAATACACCATAATACTATTTGTTAAAGACTAATGAACAATACTCATTCAATAATAATTCGTATTTTAATGGTATTTAAGTAATGTGGGTTATCAAACGTATATTATTATTATTATAACATATATTCTTAAAACAATATTGATTGTATAAAAATACAATACTTCATCGAAATATGTTATTTAAATAAAATAATGAATCTTCACACGATTACATCACAATAAAATGTATTAAAAACTAAGAATTATTTTATTAGCACATAACATAGTGAAACAAACATTGCAAAATCAACATTTATATAGTTTAATTAAACTCTATAATACGGAAAATTTTTAATTTAATTAATTTTCTAATAACAAAAAAAAAAAAAATAAATAATTACTACTATGTAAAACGCGTAATGTAATTTAATTTCTGAACTTTTAAATCAAAAATAGGTATAAACTTGTCGTTGCCGATCCAAAATATCCAAACCTAAATTAATTAAATTAAAAACTCGGGAAATTTATTTCATCCATTCAGCAGTAAATAGTTTTGACAAATCTTTATTCAAAATTAAGAAACTAAGAGTAGATTTTATGTAAATTAAAATCATTAAATTAAATATCATAATTTAGTTTATTGTGAGTCACTAAAATTTAAACATTTTCTGAAAATATCGTAAGTATAGTAAATAGTTTGAGAATTTCTGCTTTAAAAGGTACTGTAAAACAATTTTAGATTTTGTGCAGAACAATAAATGTATTGATTTTATAATGAAGTACGTGTGTTTTTTTTTGTTTACCATCATCTTTTGAGGCAATAAAAATACTTAAATTTTTCGACTTTGAATGTCAAAACTAAAAAAATTCTCAATACTTTTCTAAATAATCAGAAGCAACAATAATAATAATAAAAAAAAAAAAAAAATGATAGAAAATGGGAATTTAAGCCCCAAACAAGTTTTTATAATAAAATTAATTTCTTAATTTTATTGTAATTAAAAAAAATGAATAATCATAGAAACTTAAAATTTTGCTAAATGATTTTATAATCATTATCGATAAATAGTAAAATTTAAAAAAATATTTTTATTCTTTTTAAGTTTTTTATAAAAAATTTAAATATTTAATTTTTTTAGTTTTTTTATTTTAATTGTCGATAAAAACATTTTTCTTCATTAAAAACCTTGAAAATTTAATACAAAGTTCCTTATAAGTTATTATTATTATATATTTTAAAGAAAGTTGAGTTTAAATATCCAAAAACCATTATAAGCTCTTGTAATTGGAATTTTAACAAATTGCGTCAAAATTGTGAAAATAAGTTAATTATTTTTTAATTAAAAATTCATACCTTATATTTTAAAAATTAATACAAGGTTATTTATATGTTTGGCAACTTTTATCAAACAATAAATTCTTCAATATTGTCAAATTAGTCTTTTATAAGCGTTTAAAGTTCAATGTTTTACTATATTGCATATTCACTTATGAAATAATTAATAATTATTCCTGTTCAAATGATTTTTATGGTTTTATTGTTATTTTTTAGCAAATAATTGTAAATACTTAAAATTTTTACCAAATATTTATGTTAACATTTAATTTACATGGTAAAATTTTAAAACTATTTTGACTTGATCTTTTTATTAGATTTTTTTTTTTTTACAATTATTTATTAGGTCAACATTTTTAAAATTTTAACACAAGTGGTTCTTGTCTCTTTAAAATATTATAAAAATACGTAGACACAGGTTCTTACATACATTCAAACTTAAAATGTTTACGAAATTTGAATATTATATGCTAAGTCATTTGCTTTACGTTGAATTAAAAACCAATCCTCTAAAAATTGTCATTAGAAGTTTATTATTATTTTTTATAAAATTTAAAACAACTTTCCAGTTTACTTAATCAATGGAAATGTACAATTTTATTACTGTTATTATTTTTTTTTTCTGACTTCATAATTATTATGAATACCAAAACTTTTCGTATGAAATAATCAATAAAAAGTTTAAATTTGTGTATTTTTAAATAGGATAATTTATAATGAACTTTATATTATACCAATTTTATTATTGGTATTTATTTCTCATGTGTTCAATATTTTATTTTTAATATTTTTTCACTAATTATATCTTGTACTAATAGCTTATCTCAACTTAATTGATTTATAATTTTAATTTTTTACAAATATCATTGACCTAATCACTAACATTCATTTGAGTGATATGTAATTATTTTGGTATTTATAACTTCATTAGTACACAAATATATTATGTAGTATTATTAAGTTTAAATGTAACTATTTTAATGTCCAATTAAAAGCGTATAAATTCCATCTAGGTCAAAAACTTACAGTTTTTGTTTAAAATGATTAAATACATTTTGGACGTAAACAAAAATAAATAAAAAACGAACAGAGGAACATTAGAATAGTTACAATTCTAAAGTGATTTAAGCAATAATGACAAATTCACCCAGGCATAATGATGGTAGCATCAGTTTTATTTGTGTCAACATTTATAATTTTATACGAAATAAAACAAAAATTATTACAGTGATTACAAAATAATAAACTTTATTATATTCTGATAGACTAATTATTCATCAGCAATTTTTCCTTGTGATTGTATATAAATTTATAATTTATAGGTCTATGAATATGGGTACCTATAAAGTAAGTTCATATGTCTATGTTTATATGTTTCATAAAAAATAATTTTACAGTAAATACGATGTCACATAATATGTACACGAAAACGTAATATTAAACGCATAATATCTATGCATAATCAGCATAAAATCGTAATCAATATAATTTAAAATTCGAATAAAACGTCAAATGAAGCCACGTTATATTGCAATTATTTTGTCCCAAATCGCGATGTAGGTAAGCTTTTACAACATTTTCGATGTTTTATGTAGGAAAAATAATTTGTACTTATTATGACCGAGCAAGTCCTATGCAATATCAACATTTTCTAATACGTAACAAACGATATTGCAATATATTTCGTTACAACAGGAAATTTAATTTTTTGCGTCTTTTACGCACAATTTTATTGAATTATAGTATGATACAGAGAGGCACATAGTATAGCAATGAACGACGATGGAGTTATTGCAGCATCTAAGATAAATAATCTTCGATACTAATGCAACAATAGTTGTTTGAGATTAAAATATATTATAGATCGTTGACCGAATAAAACTCAACCGCGGTACACGTTTGATTCGTGGATTATCAGCGAGCACGTTCGTTGATTACAAGGTGACAACGACGACGACAACAAAACAGTGCGTAACCTACAGCAGTACTTGGACATCTCGCGCGGGTAGAATCTGTACACTGCGATATTGCGATTCGTACAAAGTAAGAATTTAGCGTTATGTTAACCTATACATGCTGCGGCGTTACTGTAGCCGTTGGACTTAATCCCTGAGAGCCTGGAACGTATCTCGTTATTATTTGAGTAGACTTTGACCATAGCGGATAAGTACGAATTGGCGCTTGAAATTCGTTTCAAAACCCATTCGTCGTGGCATAACGATGTTTTCAATACGATATCAAAAGCTAGTGTTCGATTCGTTTGACGTCGTCGCACTGTACAACGTGACTGCGAATCGCGACGAGACTCGATACGATGGTTTTTCCCGGACCCCTCGACTACCGCCCTGAACTACTACGGCCGCGCACTTCTATATCCGATCACGAGATGTACTAAAACCCCATATCAAATGCGAAAAATGCATCCGTCAGACCGTCGTCGTAACGACATAGTTACCTTGCTGGTCGAGTTCCAGATCGATGTCGTCGTCGAGTATCCAAGGCAACGATATCCGGATAGTATGCGTGTCGAAGTACTCGTCGATGGCCGGTCCCAGGGACGTGCTAACCCGGTGCGCGTGCGGCTTGCTGTTGTGCGGCTGCAGCTTGGACCGGTCCTCGGCGAGGCCCGCCTCCTTCTTTTTGACGATCGTCACGATGTCGCCGACCACGTTCAGCTTGTCTCTCTTCTCCAGCCAATTGACATACACCAGCAGCTTGTCGTCCAGACAGACGATGGCCAGGTCCAGCACGCAGTCGTCCGCTGACGTGGCAGCGACGGATACGCCGCGGAGCGCCATCAGCGACGCGGACGACAGCAGCAGCGACAGCAGCAACGCCATGGTTTGGCGACGTGTACGACGGCGGTAGCGGCAGCAGCGGTTGCGTGACCGCGACGCGGGTGCACTTGTACGAGCACCTGGTAAGCGGTCTGATAAGCGGTCGAATAAGCGGCGAACTGGTCGAGCTTCGCAGCTGCAGGTATGCAAAGTTTACAGTGTACCACGGCGTGTATTTGGCGAGGCGTTATGCGCGCGAAAAGAACGACCGGTGGTCAACGGAACGAGACTGTATGCGGCGACGGCGATGGTGGCGGCGACGATAGTGACGTGAAAATCAATCTTGGCCGCCGCTGCTCTCGCACTGGTACACGGACGCTGCCCCTCGTTATCCCCCGCTCTTCACCGTCTCCGACTTCGCAATCATTATATATTGTTGCGATTATTATTATTATTATTGTTGTTGTTATTATACGTTTTGGTAGTCGTAGTGGGTACATGTGGCTTATAGTCGATGCGTCGTCGGAAAATTCGCCGTTTCACGTGCGCCGGTCATTTTCCTCTTCTCCGCAGAAGGGAGGAGTCGGTGTGAGTAGCTGTTGGAGAATGGAGTATCTGGAGATGAGGGGGGAAGGTACCTCGTGTACTCGGTGGAGAGACGGAGAGGAGAAAAAAAACGACGAGAAGAAAAAATAAACACGGTGACTATAACGAATTCGACAATGAACTATATGGGACTGTATACAATATATGCGCTTGAGCGGATGTGGCTCGCGGTGGGAGGAAGAAGCCATGGTGTGGGCAAGGTAGCCGCGACTTGCTGGCGACTAGAGTGAATGAAAAACAATGTAAGAATATAAGTTAAATGGTCATTTGCTTAACTAGTTCACACCGAATCTCCGCAGCGGTTTTTCTACACACGATTTCCGCGATAATTACAAGTCAAAATAAAGCGACCCGCTGCACCGTCTACGGACCTATATACGTATACAATATTATGATAATATAGACAAACGTGCCCAGTCAGTCTGCGGTACATCGTCTCGTTTGTGTGCTTGCATTTTTTTCTCGACATTTTTTTTTTCTAACTGACGTTTGGGGGTTTTTTTTTTTTTTTATTCGTCCCCGTCATCATAATATCATAATGTTTGCCGCCTATTGTTGTCTATTATTTTGTTCGCTACGACCGACGGCAAGAAGCCGTGTAGGAAAGTCGAAAGTGACTACAATATATGCATATATAATATACGTTTTACATTATATTTCAATAATATTTATCATGATACCGGAGCCGCGTGCTTCTTTGTATCTGATTATATCACGATATTCACGATATTATTGTTACGCATTTGTGATGATGATGCGCGATACACGGATGTTTGCCATGATATTGCTTGACAACCGTTTCGAACCGTTCATTTCGGTGAGTAGGATGTACCTGCTATATGGCCATATAATAATATGAAATACAATACAGCCCATCAGTTGTTTATTCGTATACTCTATCACACGCGGTTTTTTTTCTCGCGCACATTCTAAAGGAGAAAAAACGTTTTTAACTGTCTCTCGTTTCTCTCGTGTCTCGCTTCACGTTGTCCGAATGTTAATTTTTTAATTTTTTCTTACTATGCCTGATTGCAGTGTAATAGATAACCCATATAAGGTGATTCGCCAAGCATGCTCATTGAATATGATACATTTGTCGAAACTTTAATTTTCGGAACTTTTAAGTATACTAAAATAATATAAATCATAATACCACGTTTTTTAAATACTTAGATTTTTGTATGTCTTTTAAGGAGTGTCCAATGAATATATAATTTTTTTTTATTTTTTTAATAAGAATCATGCTTTTTATTTTTAATAATACCGAAATACTTAAGTTGATTACAAATATATATATATATTATATATTTTAATGGTGATCTAAATTTAAATTCGAATGAGTAACTTCAGAGTTATTAAACTTTGTGTATTTAGGACAGTAATCTTGTATTATAAATGAAATATTTAATATAAGCAAGTACGTAATAATAAATTAGTTTAGTACTTATACTCAGTCGATTTTAATAAATTATACAGTTTCAATTAAATAATATCATTTTCATATCATAACCCACATATATTTAAACGTATTACTATGGGTACCATCCTTTGTAGGTATTATAATCTAGATTATGATTAAAATTTCAATTAATATTTATAAAAATAAAAATAAAAACTGCCTAACAATTTAGAGTAAAAAAGGGTGGTTCTCTTTGTAGGCTAGTTCATTTTAAGTATCGGAAAATATGGTCTTTATGTATACTTAAAAATTGTCTAAATTATTATAAATAAATTCGTTGTTAAATTAAATAATTGGGGTGAGCATTTTAATGATATTATTTGTATCGTTGTAATAACTAATAAATAACAGCCAATTTGTTGAACTCAATGGACGGTTACGCTTAATCTATAAAACTGAAAAATGACTTGTACCATATACGATCACGTATCAAGAAATTGACACATATTCATGATGTTAAAACGTAGAATGTGTAACTCTTTGATGTATTATTATAGAATAAGAATGGCCAAAAAAATAATTTGCTACCTTCTGAAAAGAAAGATAGTTCTTGATAGCGTAAAAACCTTTGATAAAGCCTCGACGTGACCTTGTCTTCCTTTTTGACAGAGAGAGTGGTAAATCCGCAGAAGCAGTGTTAGTGCCCCACCAGTCATCAAGTGCATGCAAGTGATTCCAAATCAGAATCCTGCTTTCCTACAAGCGACAACTGTATTTCTTCAGTAATAAGTTTATTATTTTCTCATTCAGATTTACGTATTTTAGTATAACTGTGAGTCACATAATCCTACTTATCATATGATCGTATAAGCGGCTATAAATCAAAACTACATAATATAATATTAAATAATTATATATATATATATATATATTATTGCATTGTACAGAGTATAATTTAATCAGATTTTAAAATATACAATCTTAAAATCCTCTAATATCTGGAAAAAAAATAGCTTAAATTTAATATTTGTATCTGATAAGTGATAACATTTTCAAGCACTTAAGTGTAGGAAATCATTTAAATGTTGACATTATATAACTTTTATTTTCTTATTCTTACGTTATTATAGCATGCTTGGTGAATCACTCTGTACATATATGTATTATACATTTACACGTATAAATAAGTTATTATTATCTTTACTGGCAACGTGTCGTTAAATCCATTTTCTGCAAAAAACAATATAAATTATGTTTAAGTATCTACAACGCGATATTATATTTAAATTAATTTTTTTAATACGATTTAGACATACTTCTGGTAGTCGATAAGGAATCGAAGATTTTTTCAGGTAATTATAATTTGTATTTACCAAATACGATATCACACAATTATAGTAATACACTAATAGTAGACTATGCTAAATTTTCAAACGACGTGCGTTAAATATTATAAGATTATATTAATAAATTATTCAGTATTTGTTTAATTTTTCAATAATAATTCGTACGACCTCGCGCGATTGATGGCCATTTCGACTCGTATAGATTATAGATGATGTGTAGATACAACAATAATTTTTCGATAAATATAATAAATCATAATATTATAGTTTTTGTAATTTATTATTATTATTATTATCATATTTTAATTTGTATATATATGTGCTCTTTCAACACTGGTTTAACGCAATGACCTACTCAATGGTGTATACTTCTATATTTCTATCCATTCATCGAATTCATCGAATTAAAGAAAAAAAATAGACGAATTCTAACTTAATCGTTCTACGAAATATGACTTTATATTTCATTTTGTTCGTTAAAATAATATGCAGGTTTCTTAAAAATGAAAAATTTTATATTTATTTGTAATTTATTAGAATATTTATGGCTTACGCCACTGTAGCTGTAACTAAAAAAATTTAACCATTTCTTTATTTAAAGTGTTGGAGATATACAGGACTCATGACTATTGCAATAATAATGCGTATAGTTATGTAGCTCCCTATTTGTTTAATATCTATAACGTATTCTTAAAACTGAATAATAATTTATATATTTTAAAGAGAACTCGCTGTGTGTCTATGGGAAACCGCGTTTATTCTGCGATCGCTGTAGGTATTAAAAAAACATATTATACCTACAATATTAATAAAAAATAGCTGATTGCGGCAACAAATATGAACGATTTACCTTATACTAGTAAACATATTAGTATAAAATATGTATAAGACGCATATTTTCATTGGCAATAGCACGCGGAACAAATATCTAGAGTAGATAGTAGCCGACAAATTCTAATGGGATTACGACTTGCTTGACGACGAAACTCGTAAAACTTATTGTTTATTATATTATGATATTGCGTTAACAAAAATTTATACCTTTTTGACGTACTATACAGATATAAGACATATTTTTAATATATAAATAATATATTATATATTGTGGAAAGAGTCAAATAACAACGACACACACAATATAATATTAAAAGCCGGTGTAAGATTGCGTGTATATTTTACTACGACTACTATATACGATAGTATTGCAGATAAAATTTGTATTATTTAAGCAAACGATAATAATATTTACAGTCATTAATCACTTTATATACGATATTATAATATTTTAACGCACTTATTGTTTTTGATGTGTGTATTTCGTTATAACCACGATTTTTTTTTTTTACAACTTAAAATGCGTTAATACTAAAATTTCTATGAATATGTTAATATTACAACTGAGGTGTATACTTATCATTGGTTTAGATTAAACCGTTAAAACAGTGTTTCACCAATCATATTAATAGTTAATTAACTCTTTTGTTAAGTCTAGTGCTTCTATAACTTATTTCGAACAACTAGTGTTACTAAGACTAAATAATATAGAATTCGAAGAGATGAATAATTACAAAAAAAAAAAAATAAAATAAATATTGTAATCAAGGTATAACCACTGCATATTGATTTCGAGTCGAATACAGGACTAAATCCTAATCAGCTGTTTTGCGAAGAAGTGAAATTTAGTGAAAAAAAAGTATTTATTTTAAATAAAAAAAGATTTAATCTTATCTTTATAGTAGATATAGTTACACGCACCTCTATCTAAATATACATACATATAGTTATTCTAAGTATTAATCGTATTATATTCGTGACTATGAATTTTATTGTTAATTCGAGGCACGTCAACAAAAACTGACCATGACATTAAAAACAAATAAATATTTTTATAAGATATTAGAAATTCATATAATAAAACTTAACAATATTTTTTTTAAATGCATTGTGTCCCATTTTAATAAGTTTGAAGTAATAATACTATCC